GATTTGCAGCAATTTATACACCGAAATGCTGGTCTGTCAGTCCTTGTTCGATCACTTTCAGTGTCACCGGTTTATTTCCTACATCTGCATACTCATTACGTTCACACATACGCCCAGTGGGATCGTCACTGTGGGTCCATTTTCCATTTTAAATTTTTGTTCGCCTATTCTCTGATTGAATAGAATTGTTTTGCTCCGTGCAGATGTCACTATCTGTTTATAACCGTTTTCATCTATAGCATTTTACCGTCAGATGAAAATTCTCTTAGTCATAGACAATGCAGCGCAGAGCGTTTAATGAGTTCACTTTAAATAAATATCAACTTTACGCTTTGGTGCCGTGATCTGGGTTGTTTGGGCTCAATAAAATCATGTCATAAACTAATGTTTCTAGGGCTTATTATATGTTTTACCTCNTACCTCTGTTGTATAGCGAACGCGATAGTGAATGGGCCTATTGCGCCGTTAGTAAATTAACCATCTTAGCCTCGTGGTTTTGATAACAGTGAAGGTTTCCTTCGTGGAATATATACCATGACACGCGGGGGCTAAAGCATGTCATCAACTCTTGTTGATATTCACAAGAATTAACTGTAATTTTAGTCATATTTTACCTCGTCTAACAGATGAATCGATGATAATTCGATATTCATTTTTTGGTGTAAATCTACTTGGGACTAGTCAAATGGGATTAAAATGGTATTGCTTTCCATCGGCCTTCCGTTCCGTGCCCACGTGTCAGTTCATGGCAGTCAACCATACGCGCTAGACACACTATAGAATCACAAACTGTGCATATCTTTCCGTACCACTGTGGCTTGGATCTCTCCGATCTGAATTGGTTGGTGTAGATGGATCCCACGTGCTGGTGAGTGTGTGAGAGAGACAGCAGTCTAAAGGCACATTACGCGGCATTCACAGCACGAAGTTCCGTTCTGAGCCGTATTGATTGACGTCTCTAACCGAAATAAGGGTAGCATAAGAGGATTAAGACAACCATACAAATATTTCAAAGGGGATAAGAGCTAGTATCGATTAGTGACGACCGATTGTTTTGTTACGCATGTCAACAAATGAATTATCGTGGTATGCTGTACTTGCTGAGGCAGGTCACAGATGAAGAAACATCACGGAGGGTCAAACAATGACTTGACATGAAGGCACCAGTGTCACCGATGGGTATTGACAGTGAGTGACGAAAAACACTGGCGGGCATGCATCTGCTCGATTTGTTCGCAACCTCAGTCTAACGAAACTCTCTGCTCCAAAAGCCTCAGTGTGGTGTGCTGTGAACTGGTACCCCAATAAATTACCGGCCCACATTCAGAACACTAGATCGGAGTTGACCAACTTGAAATATCTTTGAAAGAAAATCACCACATCCGATCGTACGTGCACATTCAACTGGGCGTCGCGGTGCCTACTAAGTGGTGAGGACTAATCACTGTTATGGAAAGAGGATACAGAAAAACCATTCTCGAATCCGACCGTATGCACAGCATCGCATCCGAGACAATGGACAAGACATACAAATAACAGGTAAGAAGAATTTGACGTGTTGATTCCGATAACACTTACTTTAGTGCGGCTGGCTCCTTGGAAAGGATAAACCGGCTCCAGACATGATCATGACCATGAAGTTCCTTGGGAGTTTGGTACGAGAAACGTCCCCAGCGTCACTCGGCGTTTTTCATTTTGCACAGCCAAAGGTGAACTGCAAGTCAGCAGAAAGTAACCCCTTGCCTCGGAAGTGAGGGGGTTAATGACTTTAGTTTTAAGAGGCCAGCCACATCGACCTTTGTCACGATACCGTCACTGGGCTTATGTGGCTTATAAACAGGATCCAGGTGATCAGCCTGAAACCCACCACATCCTGGTAATGCCACCGCTGTTTGTTCGTGACTGCTTATTTGTTGCGATATGCCACAACTTATTCGATGAATGTATCCCCATATCCACAACCCAGGGACGTGCCTTGTAGCATTCAACTCCGCTTAATCTGAGGGTATCCAGGATTCCGATAACACCATCGGCTTTGATTGCATCCTTCTTCGGAATTCGGGCAAGAATAAACTTCATCAGAAACACCCTTCTCACTCAAATCATTAGCGATTGTCTGCACTGATACAATGCAGATTATTCTGACTAAGCAAATGCTTCAGGACAGCTTAACCGATTTCTTTTTCGTGTTTGTTCACTGTATAATAGGTCAACACCAAAAGAAATCAACCAGATTGTCGATATCGTGCGATTGTATGACTCTCTCTCTCAGTATCACTTGATGACAGTCGTATTCACGTGATGAACGAAATGTCGATGCGACCTTGACCTTTTATTCGCATGACTTTTCGTTCCACACTTTCAATGCACTGTAGTGTGAGAGTGCTGAACGCTTGTTTGTCTCACGCTTTTATTCCCCCCGCCCCGCCCAACCCTATCATAACCGTTCATCAACTTGCTTGCTTATCGGCAAAACGAGTTTCTTTCTGTGTCATTAGAAAGACAATATTGGAGAAATGCATAGGGAACCCACTCGAAGAACTGCAAAGCTTCGTTTTACTTTTTAAACGAGAGTAAATAGTATAACCGATGTTATGTATAAGTAGTTAGATGTGGAACTAAAACGGTCAAGGATTTCCGAGCGAAATAAGTTGACTTTTGTGTCCATCACCGGTTACTGAAGCATCTAGCATCATTCGCCACTCATGGCTGATGTTAAAGCTGAACTTTATACACCCGATGTTCTTCTCTGTTTCTTCAATTTTTTCCTGGTTATCTCTGGATTCGGATCTCCAGCGGTGATTTGGCTCACACCCCATTGTCATCACCATCCAAGTGTCTTCAGTTCATTCTAGTTAATAAAAAATTTCCTGAGCGACCGTTCAAGCTATAAACGAATTTGCATCCGATGTCTATCTTTATACGGTTTTCCGGATGGTCAAGTTTCAGCGCTGTTTAGCAGAACTGATTTCGACTGCTGCCACTGTTGCACCATACACTCGACCGTTCCGGGACAACCGGAATTGCCACAAACATGTCCATTTGGCCAATCGTGCCTTCCGTATGCACACCGACGCTGCATCCATTATACGTCCGCCGTGTGAGATGTAGTTGCTCAGACAGCAAAATTTGTTCACTACCTCTCCGGTTTCCCCAGTTAGAGTGAGGATTGGAGTTGTACTAACCTAGTCCTGAGGTGGGATTTTTGCACTTTGAGCATGTGAAATGCATGCCGAATATAGATACACTAACACTCTAACTATCCAGAGAGAAACTTACAACATGCGTGGATCGTTAGCTAGCAGTACAATGTTCTCTAAATAAACCAGAACAGACAGTCTGTCACATGGGAACAAATCGGCGGAAAACGGTAATCGGTGGTCGAACTCAGACCTGGCATGAGGATAATGAAAACCCTAACTAGCAGATTTGTTCACATACGCCCCGTTAGGCTTCTTGGCTGTGGAATCAATGGTTATTCATATCGAGCGATATGGTTCAGTGTTGTAAACAGTGGTGCACATCGACTTCTCAATTTCCTTGCCACTTCCGTCCTCGTAAATTCAGTCTATATTCACTCTGACGCTGAAGTTAAAAAAAAACTTGGGCTCAGTGTGGGAGAGGGAAGTGGTTCCAACTGAATGGTGTGAATCGGTGATCATACCGACTTACAAGAAAGGCGACAGATCCTCTCGTGAAAACCACAAAGGGATTAGTTCAATCATTATCGTCTCGCTGGCATCATACTCCGTCAATTGTCAACCTCACGTGAACGTTGTATGCGTGAAAACCAGGCTGGTTTTAGACCTGATCGAGGTTGTATCGATCACATCTTCACTCTTCGTCAAATCCTAGAACACAGACACTCTTTTCGTAGATCCATCATTTTTAATACCCCTGAATTTGACAGCGGCTTACGACTCCGTCGAATGCTCTAAACTCTGGTGCTGACTGGCTGTGAGTAGTGTGACCGAGAAGTTTATTTCGTTATTACAATCGCTCTATACTAATAGCCGGAGCCGAATCTGAGCTTACGGCACTTTTTCACCCGAGTTCACCACGGAAAGTGGTAATCGACGGGGTGACCTCACTCTTCGTTTCGACCTTTGTCATAGATTTAATTCTTGAAACAGCCCTGTACTCGTGAAGACCCAGGTAAGGTGCAAGCTTTTCAGAATGGTAGCCATATTCGGTATGCGTTTTGCACCTTCAGAGTATAAAATGTTGCTCTAAGACTGGGTCGGTCCAGCACTCAGCCTCATCCTAGCCGGGGAAATAATAGAGCAAGTGGACAAGTTTTGCTACCTGGGCAGTTATATCTTACCTAGCGGATACATTACAGATAAAGTGTCAGCTCGCATACACAAAGCTCAATTGGCATTTACCAACTTGAGACATTTGTGGCGCTGTCACGACGTCCGGCTGTCTGTGAATAATCGAGTATATGCTGCAGCGGTTCTGAAAGTGCTGCTTTACGGTGCAGAGATTTGGCCCTTACGGGCAGAGGATAGAAATAGATTATCTATGTTTGAACACCGTTGTCTACGTCACATTGCGCCAGTCTGGTGGGGTAACCGGACGAGCAATTCTGGGGTTGGGCGTATAGTTTTAGGCAGTCTCGGTCGTCCACTGGAGCAAGTGATTGACCTGCCTAGATTACGTTGGATTGGACATGTGTTACGCATGTCACCCAATGGTTTTCCGCGGCGAGTAATGTTCGCCGAGGCAGGTAGCGGTTGGGAGAAAGGTCAAGGGTGGTTAAACTAAAACCAGACATGAGAGGATAAAAATCCTAGGTCAAATGAGTCCCGTTAGGCTAACTTGGCAGGGGACCTCGAGATGATGGTTACCGAGGATTAGAGACACTATGATATGGCTGGATGAGGCAAACCGTGGCGCTCGAGCATCTACTCATTATTCTTCTAATACCACTCTATGAATTCTCCAGCTTCTGCTTCAATTCGCTCTCCACATTCTAATCTTCATCCTGCCCCTGATAAGGAAGAACACATGTCACTCAACTGCAGCGGGCTGATTGTAATTATGTCAAAACGATTTACAGGGTCAATGGGTGAAATTCAGATCAATAATCGTTAGGTCTGTCAATACTGATTGGATGGATAGCGAGGCCGATCAGTCACGTGACATCCGATGCAAGCGAGCTGTGGCCTTAGTTGAGCTCTCATCACAGTTTGGAAATTAAGTTGCACCCGATATCATTTTTAGTAATTGGACGTTCGTATCATCCGAGTGAACAGACCCACATACTTTTCCAATCTCATAGTGATGTCCATAGACAATCCCCGTTCTGTAGACATAGTTCTCAACCTCCTTTGAAACGCTGGTTCGAAGAAGGGAGTGATTGGGTGATCCTAGCCTATGGGATAACACCAGCGACGTGTTACAATTTCTGGATAACCGTGATCAATCAACCTTCCCCTACGCGTTACACTTTCTGGACAATGAACCGCGGGCGAATTGTGCCGATCAATCAGAAGTCATACGATCCAGACAGAAGCTGTATGACGTCTGGAATATGAGCACGTGGTTGGTGGATACCCGGATTTCTTCCAATAAACGAAGTTCTACTTGTGTGGCCTGCATCGGTCACGTGGGATACCAGTGTGCGAGTGCTAGTGTGATTCAGTGTTACCGATGCATCCGTGATTCTTGATTCCTGATTTGTGATCTGTGCGTTCTCCAACTACTATACATCCTCAATCCCGCTTCATATTTTGCGCCTTGCCTTGTGCGTACTCACCTGTGTGTGTGGTACGTCCCCCCCCCGTCCCCAGAATAATTATGCGATGTCCCACCGACACCAATGGATAATGCTCGATCAATACATTCGCATTCAGTCAGTTTGCTACTTAAAAAACGGCTTCTATTCCTCTCGGTTATCCATTTATTTAGACAAATTTTCCACCTTCAAATGAAAAACAATGATCATTTTGCCCAACGTATCTCAAACTTTCGCATAATCTGTGTGAACAAACGAAGTCGTTCCTGTCTTCAGCTGAACGAAGTCGATTGTGGCCTTCACCCGAAGCTATTGCGCTCTGGCTTTCTCACATCTATGGTCCAAACAAGCTCGCGTAACAAAATATTCTGTCCCAGAGTGATAGTGCTGCAGAACATATTGAAGCCGATTTGGTTCGGAAAATTGGACAAAAACTTTGGGTTGAGTGGTTTGTGGCTGTCAAACGAGAAGTCAAAGTTGGTAGGCTGCTCGCAGGTCGTTGAACCTCCACTCTTCTGGAGTCTGTTTGATCGCCTAATTTGACCTCATCATCGCGTGATCAGAGGTCATGACCGTGTACATCTGTCGGATCAATGTGAGGCTAGAATTCTGCACACAGAGAGTGATGGCTTCAGTTGTCTAATTGTCACCGCTTCAGCAATTGTTCATTGGCATTTCCGCGCATAATTCGATCTGTTTGGCTTTCTAATTGTCATTACTGACCTGACGTCCGGTTTCTGTAACCGAGAGGGATGGAGGGGGCTGTGATTGCACTACTTCTCGTTATCATGCAGCCGTAGCTCAAACAGAACGGTGTGTGATTTATCACACACCGTGATCACCCCTTTGTCGTGTGACCCAAATCACTGGTCGCACAGGTACAAGTGAAGGACCCGGTAACCATTGCGACGTTCCGTGTGGCATAGTGGCCGAATATGTACGGGCAACTAATTATCTGAATGCCGTGGCAAGGTTTGTGATAACCCACAAAGAGCACTGGACAGCTGTTTCATTCTGTTTGGGACTGGTCAGCAGTGCGTATTTTTGTGTCCCTGTCAGGACTCGAACTGCGATCATTTGGGTCGGGACTTCAAACCCCTACTCCTGAGCTACACGATGCGAATGGCTCAATCAAATAAGATGGTGAATGTTTGGATTAACCCATTCAGTTTTTCACAGGCACCAGGCATTGTTGATGATATTCGGTGTGGGTTTCACTCCTTGGGAGATGCATTCAAACAGTGGGGAATTAACGATCTCCTAAGGAGTGAAACCCACACTCAAGACCATCAAGAGTGCCTGATGCCTCTGAACAATCGAATGGGCTAATCCAATCTGATACTCAAAATGTATTGAGTCATTCGCACAAGGTGGCGACCGTCGACTGTGTAGCTCAAGGGCAATGAT